TATATATATCGATTTTACAAAGATAAGCTTGCAGAAAGACTATATATATATATATAAACTTTTCATTACACATAACAAGTTTGTATATTTCAAACGAAAATCTAAGGGTAAGTAAAATTTTAAGACGGGACTTTTGTGTTACGGTAATCATTGACAAAGGAATAAGTAAAAATTATTTAAAATCTGAAGAATTTTGGGAAATGATATGAAGCTAGTCTTAATGTTTTTTAATAATAAAACTGCTTATTTTTGTAGAGTATATGTAATTTTAAAAACTGAAAGTCAAAAGTAAATTTAGCTAAAAAAATATGTAAAAAAGAAATATTCTTTAATATTTAAACAGACCTTGTCTTTTTCCTATATTACAGAATATTTATCTTAAATTTTAAAAAAAGCGTACATTTTACATAAAAATTATCGTCAGTGGAAAAATAATAATAGGTTAGATTGTTCGGGCTTACTATTGTGTATTTTCCGAGCTATTCCCTCACCTGTAACGCAATTTGGTTTTGTTTAAAAAATCCTTCGCGAAGATGAGTTTACCTCGAATTAACTCAGAAATTCACTGTTCCTCTAAGTCGAGGTGGAAGTATTTAAGATGGAGGTGAAATTTATTGCCTTCAATCTATTACTTAGACGTGCTGTACGAAGAAGGTGATAAAATTTAAATACTGATAACTTATGAATCTGTGTTCAATTTTAGAGACAGAATAAAATACTAATAAAACACAAATTGGGTGTTCAACTTAAGTGACAAAATGAAGTAAAACAATTCATCTAATGCAACTAAATAAACACCGATAACTTATGAATCAGATGTTCAACTTTGGTAAGAAATTGAAATATTTGCTACTCATGATTCGAGTGTTCAACTTTAGTGAGAGTATAAAATATTTATGTGTTAAATCGCACTGAGAGCGAAAGTTTGGTCAAAACTAACAGAATATGAGAAAATCTACAGCGTCCTGGGAACACCAAAAAGAACGGTAATTTTTATCGAATTGCTTTGGTAAGGATTTTGGTAAAATTAAAAATGAAATATGGTTTTATAATATATGTGATAAAATTTGGAAAATGTAGAAAGTTTGATACTTTTATCATAACTTAGAACATGGCATAAAAACCAGTTATTCGGTTAAATTTACTTTTAAATTTTGTATTTCTTACTAAGTGTGGAGTAATAAGAACTTTAATTTTGAAAACCAAATTTCGGTAAACCGTTACCATAAAATGGAAAAATTACCAAACGAATGGTTTAAATACCTTATATTTTAGTTTTATTAACCAGAATTATATATATCATACAGAGCGGTAGTTTTACTAAATACGTTTTCTCCGTGCAATGTTCAGATGCTTATCTTAGGTGATAAATCAGACATTCAACTTAGGTTAGAAAATAAAGTACTGGTAACTCATGAATCGAGTGTTCAATTTAAATGACAAAATAAAATAATGACAGCTCATGAATCGAGAGTTCAACTTTGGTGACAGTATAAAATATTAATGTGTCAAAGCTTATCTTTCAACATCTGTCAAATCTTTTTATAATTCAAATATTTTTTCCAGGTTGCCCCAATTATTAAAGGAAGAGCTGTGAAGGAAGGAACTATGATTATAAGCTACCAACCATTAAAATCCAAAAATTGGGTCAATTTCTTCCGAGTAATTGTTCATTGCATTCCAACTTTGTGTGAGAAGTATATGGACGACATTATCACGCTCATTCAAAAATATGGAGCAGATCTTTAAAATAAAGAACAAAAATGTTTAATTTTTCTTTCCCAAGTTTCACAAATTTATAGATGTCAAATTTTTAGAGGTAATGTTGTTAAATGTTTGTCGTTAAGGTTATGTAACTTTAGTGATTCAAGTGGTGCTGAGACCGGTGATGATGTATTGAGGACAGTACGTACACAAGGCATTTGGTAAAAGACCTAAAGTTTAAGTTATTTTTAAGTTGTAAGATTTTAAGTACATTAGCTAAACGTTACATGTTTGTCAGTTTTGAATTATAAGTCAAAGATTATAGATAAGTGTTTTAGCTGAACTATGTAAAGTTTCGATAAATTGTGTTGTTTTCAATGCAATATTCCTTATTGAACCTTTATTTGTTTTTATTCTCAAGAAAAACTACATTTGTTTCAATAATTTAATTACATTATGTCTCTCAGAACTGTGCTAGATGAACAAAATCAATTACTTTGTTATAAAAATCATGTAAATATATTTTATGTGATACAATTTGACATTGTTATGATATAAATTTTTGTTACGTTTATGTATTTATAAGTGGATTGAGAACAAAGTGTGCCAAAGGAAAAAGCAAATATAATTGTTTCTTAGATTAGTAAATCCTTCTAAATGTAAATTAAACGTTTATACTGTATAGGATTGTAGATTTTGTAAAAAGAAATGAATTCACAAATCCAGTTCTTCCATTGTGAATATTTTAAAACTTAGCTTTCGCCGTTTCCTTAGAATAGCTTATTGCCCAGATGTGTATTGTTAACAATGTAGTTTCGTCTGCTATAGTTTTATCGATTGCATTTGGAGAAAGAAAATTTGTAGGTGAAATAAAATCCAAGAGTTAAAATATTATTCAAATTCTCAAGTGTTTTATAGTGTAACATCTAAAATGTGAAAATAAAATTGAACAATGTATTGAAATTTAAACTGTTTTTAATGTTTCTCCTTATAACATTAGTCAACAAATTTGAAAATCGCTAAATTAGCGAAAACATTTGCACGGCATGCTATTTTTCATATGTAACAAAATTCCTCAATTTTTTTTCAAGTCAAAAAATTCAATCAAAGCTTTTAAGTCTAGGATCTAAAAATTTTTCGAAACGTAAATAATACAAAATTTCATCATTATAACATCATCATTATTGTTGTTTACTTTAATCTCAATTATTCAATTCATATTAAAGTTATAACATTCATTGCAAAATTCTCATCAAAATAACAATGTTCATTATTAAAGTCTTATTAAAGTTATATAGTTCATAATTAAATTCTCAAATTTTCATTAAATTTATAATGTCTATTAAATTCTCAAAAAAGTTATAAAATCATTTATTAAATTTTCATGAAAATCATAATGCCCATTATTTACTACCCATTAAAACTATAATTTTGATTATTTACGATTTTTAAGAATAAGTTTTTTTTTAGCGATTTTTTTTAATTTCACTGTCACTGAAATTACCCTTTTTCTGCTATGATCAACCAGACATGACACCTTAAAAAATCTATTGAAAATTTTTTTTTCTTGTATTTGCATTATCTATCATGGTGTTTTCAACAAAATTCATCGTGGCTGGCTGAACATTGCAAATTCTCGTATATTATACAAAAAAAACATCCCTTTTTACCAAAATATAATTTAAATCCCCAAATGCCTTTTCCCAATCACGGCCATTTTTGAACAAAAATATCTTCTCGCATAAGACGTTTTGCCGAAACGTGATGGACTATTTTGAAGTGGCTATTTTTCCTTGAATTTTACTTTTATCTACCAAAATAGTCATCAGTTATTTTTATCTCCATTTGCACGCTTCAAACTTATATGACAAATACTAATTTAATCACTAAGTTAACGAGAATTTAGTGTTATTTTTAAAAGCTTTATTTCCTTTAAATATATAGACTCTATTTTCTAAAATGAGTAATGATATATAATATTTCCATAATGATTTTGAAGTCAATCAAATTTCTTAAATACATGCGCGTTTTACGCCGCAAAGTATGTATGGGTCCTAGATTATTTGAAAAATCTGAGTCTTTGTAATACTGTCATTTTATAATACACCAAGCTATTTGGAAAAATCTCCAGCATTTTCTAATCAGCCTGATAGTTTTTAGGTACACTCTAATGAGCCCATTTATATCTAGGCTAATTCGAAAATATTTATTCCAATTAGCATGTTTTTAAAACGTTTGCAATGAACCCATAATAGGAAAGGCTTCATGCAAAGAGCCTAGTGATGAAAAGGACTTATTAAAAAGAATGACATTTACAAGGAGACGCATTAGACAAATATCCTACGACATCTACCCTAAAATTTATTTATTGTGACTAGAGCCTTCCCTATCATGTGAGTTAAAATACTAATTTTAACAACTTTGCACCATAATAATAGGGACACTTTTAATGATTTTCAATAAATGCTATCATTGGGCTAATTGAAGTGTTTTTTTTTTTTTTTAAATTTCTTCTAGTTAACTCAGAACATAAATTTGAGAGGAACGAATGTATACTATAGATCTTGATTTTTATTTATATAAATATCTGCTTCATAAGTTACTTTTTAATACTTCACATATACCATTTTTGTGTATTTCAGACACAACAAAAATATGCATTTTTCTCGAATCAGTCCTGCATGTGTAAAACGTTTGTAATCTTCTTATGTGAATATGTAATTCAGATATTTAAATAAAAGGAACGTTTTCATCATGAAATAAAATTCCTTTGAACAAATCATCATTTTAACTGTGTATAATACTAATTTTTATTGGTTTATCGTTTTTTAGAAGAAAAAAAATGGTATGAAATATGCTTCTTTGTACGCTAAATATTTCTTGTGAAAAATCGTTTTTGCAAGTCTTCCATGTTATACTAATTGTAATATTATAAAAATATCAATGTATGTCAATAGAGTTGCCAATACTGTTTTACTTATTATTTATTAATGTGTGTTTGCTTATATTTTGATAATGTACTAGAGTAAAGAATAAAATAGTAAGCAAATTCTGAGTGTATTCATATTACAATGTGCTGTTATAAAAATACGCATTGTGTTGTTGTTGACGTATGCCTGTTTAAGCAGAGGGGTGTGATTGTTCTGGTTTTCCAGTGGCGCCATCTATGGCCAAGAATTCGATTTCAGCCACACCTATACGTCACACCCGTTTATAGGGCATTCATACATTCATTCATTCATCCACTGATCGTAATTTTGACCTGAATCAGTGAACGATCGATCTCCATTCCAGTACCCCCAGAGGTATTGATTTGTTGAACTTTGTGACTCGAGAGATTTAACGTGCATCAGTCACCATTTACTACACGGGGAGTCCTTAGCCAGTGGGGTTCCCACGAGCTCTCGGACATGGGCCCAGCTCCCTACCGACCAGGCTCTCCCGGCCCCGGAGAAATATGCATAGACTTGGAAATATCGACAAATCATTAAATAACGATAAAATAGATATTTTTGAGCCCATTTTAATGCAGATAATTATGAAAAACATGAAATTGTCATAAAACTTATATAATTTAAATAAATAAATGCATCAGTTGAAGGATACACGGACATGAAATTCGTAAATATATCCAGTATGTTCCAGTTAACGCGATATTTTTCAGGCTTATTGGAATCCGACCAGATACTTTTAGGTTTATTAGAAAATACACGAAGAATTAATCAGTCATCCTGAATTTACTCTAGTCTAAATGCAGAAAGCCTGATTTCAAACAGTTGTGGGGAGAGCAGTTATCGACAATGTCTATGAAAAGGTACCCCAACATAGAATAGAGTTAACATGTCTTATATACAAGTTAATTGGAATTGTATTTGTTGTAATGGTAGACGCACTACACAGTTTATCGCAGAAAGCCGACCCTCAATGTAAACGGTCTGAAATAAATCAGGATAACTGAGCCATAAATGACGTATTTTCCAATTAGCCTAAAGGTATCTAAGCTCCTTGCAATAAGCCTGAAAATTGCTCTGAATGGAAAATACTGGAGATTTTTCCATTTTTATTTTATTTTTGTTTTTATAAACACTTTATTTATTTTTTTATTTTATTTGGATTAAGCATTTTCAATTTAAATTTTTATAATTAATATTTTACAAGAAGGATTTGGGCTTATTTAGGATATAAATTCCAGTCTGTATAAAAATTAAGTGTAAATGAAATCAAACGGTTATTTTTGATTACTATAGAGAGCTATAGAAAGTATTGCAAGATATTTATGACTAAACCAAATGTAATGCGAAATAAATAATCAAAAAAAGCGCAGATAAATAATTTTAGTATAAACTTAAATGCATTTTGCATCAAATCTCAATAAACTTATAAAAGTAAATAATTTTATGTCTGGTTGAGGTAAATACCTAATAACCGATGTCAGTACCATTATTCCTGTGTAAGTCAGACATTTTTTTAAACAACAATTGCTGATAGCGAACACGTAAATACTTAGAACAGACTTACCTAATGAAAATTTTTAACACAAATTATAATTATTTTTAGATTTACAAGTTTAAGTTTTGAGATCTTGAGTATACTTTCAGAAATTTTCTAAACAGTTTTTTAGTATTCCAATGATGCTGGTAAATTTAATATTGGCCTGATTTCGTTTGTCAGTATATCCTTAAAATAAATTTTTCTTTCGACTTATACACCTTTACGTTGGATATCAGCATCACTAACTTTGAATAGACATTGTTCAACAAATTAAAAAGCACGAGTGAACTAAAGGCAGAAACCAAATCTTAGATATGAAAATATAAAAATTAGAAATTACTTTCAGAAATTTTATGAATAGTTTTTTTTTTTTTTTTTTTTCCCAATGACGCTGTTTATTGTTAAGATTGCGACTGGTTCCGTTTGACATTACATCAGTAAGATTAATATTACTCGCTACTAATTCATCTTTCCGATAGATGGCAGCACTACAAAATTTAAAAGACATTTTCCAGCTAATTTGACAAGTACAAATTAACAAAAGGTACAAAGCGAAACTTAGATATTAGAAGTGCTGTTCCAAAAAGGTATTCCGCGGAACCCTATTGTTCCGTGGAAGAGATAAAGGGGTTCCGTAATTTAGAAATCTTTATAACAAGTGATGAATTTTGATTTCTAATTATATTTAGATTTAACCAACAATTTATGCAATCTTTCGGAATTCTCGGTCTGGGAGGCAAAGTTACTCGCGTCCGTAGCATCCCTAAAGCTACACGTGCCTCCTGGGTGGTGCTAAATGAGTAACAACTCTGCAGCCGAGATCTCTCTGTTTTTGATTTTGATCTTCTGATTGATTTTCGTGTATCTGGATGATTCTCTCTTGATATGAGGTGTAGACAGGATTCGTTGCATGTTTTGCAGTGGAACGCAGGTGGGCTTACCCAAATAGTGGATAATCCTGCCTGCCCCCTCTGCCGCAGTGGTGCGACGATGAATGCTGGACATCTTCTAGACTGTTCAGTTCTGACAAAGAACTGCATCTACTCCCGATACTGGGAGGCCAGAGAACTTTTGTTCAATTTAAGTTCTTGAATTAATTTCTGTGTTTGATGTTTTGCTTTTGTTTTTGTATTTTGTATATTTCATCTCCTTCTGTATTTGTATTTTTGTTTTATTTTGATCTCTGTACGGCGTTAGGATAATGTCCGTATCGCCTGCTGCATTGGAAATTGGAATTCTCGGTCTTTATGAAATTATTTCAAGTAAAATGCATATGAATAGAAATGGCATTTTTTAAAACAAAATATAGTATTTCTAATAACAATATATTGAGCAAATTATGAAAATAGCGTACATTTATAAAATATTGCATTATTATTTCCTAATGCGTTTTTCATATCAAAACAAAATAACTTAATTATTTAATAAAGAAATATGTTTCCCTAATAAACATTTCTAACGCTTATAGCAGTTCTTTTTAACTTTTGTTTCCTTAAACAATAAGTCGGCTTATTTTATACATTTTCAGCTTATGAATATGCACCAAAAATATGCACCAGCTAGTGAACAGATTTGTTTTTTGTGCCTGCCTGGGATTCGAACCCAGAACCTTTCTGATGCATTGACAGCTCCCTGCCCCCTACACAGGCCGGTGGGCATATAAAATTATTAAGGATAAAATTATAAAAAATCTTCATTCCTCTAATTAAATATTTTAAACGTAAAATTGTTTTTATGTTGTTCTTAATTACGTTAATAAACTTTATTTATAAAGTCAGGGTTTCGCCAAAAGAAGATTATTTTAGGGTTCCGTAGCCAAAAACAATTAACCGCTGTATTAGAATATAAAGATTCGACTTGAATTATGTTTAATCCCCACCACAACATCTAATTGATAAAATTTTCAGACTATCATTTTCATTTAATTCCCTGTAATAACTTATATAGCATGCAACCGATTGCAAACTATGACTCAGTTTTCGTACAGTTATTTTATAAATACTCCTCACTGCCACAAATATCCTCAAAACTTCTTTGAAATTGAGATATCCTCAGGTAAATTTGTTGGATGTTATTGAATGTTTGAAAAAATTGCTTCATTTTATTTAATGTCTAATGTTGTTGTCGTAGCATTAGGGGTGCGATTATTCTTCTTTTTCAGAGGCTCCATCTCTGGCCAAGAATTTGACTTCTGCCACACCCATACGTCAAACTCGTTTGTAGAGCAGACCCATCTATTTTCGTCCACTGATCATAATTTTGACCCAACCAGAGAACAATCAATCTCCAATTCAGCACCCCCAGAGATATAATTTGTTATGGGAACATGAAGGATTTTGTGACCCAACCGATTTAGCGTGCACCAGTCACCATTTACTACTTCGCCGGTTGGATTCGAGCTACTGTTTTCACGAACGCGAGTCTCTGCCAACCGATTTCGGCCTTAATTATCTGATATTTGGTGTATAATTAAACATCACTTAACTTTAAGAATCAGATTACTTGCTGTGTAGGGAACTGGCCTTACATCAGAAAGGTTCTGGGATTGAATCCCGGGCGCATGTAAACTCTCTTTACACACATAGTATCCCCAAGAGATTTTGAGAGCGCTGATTGGCTTTCTCGGCAACGCTATCTGTGACGTATGGCTATTTCATTCTGCCATGTTTGTTATTTTCAGCATAGAGTGATTTCTATACTCCAGCTTTTGTGTACAAGCTTCAAATGTCAATTTTTTTTAACAGAGAAACTGCCTTCTTCATTGAAAAATGAAGTAAAAAATAGTTCCTCAAATACCATTACCCTTAGAAGTAATGTTCTAAATTTAGACGATTGTAATAGGTGGGTAAGGGCATTTGGGGAACTTACCAATACGAAATGGAATTCTAGAACATCCAAACCTCATGGAAAAAGGTTTGTTTGAAGGTAAATAACTAGTTTAGTTATTTTTAAAAAAAAAATTGTATTTAATTTTTATGGGGAATGCTTTTTTCGTTAAATTTATGATTATTACATGCATGAATTCTTATGAAGCTAATATCCTTCTAATTTATTGAATAACATTGAAATCGAATTTAATTGCCTTGCTTAATTCTTATACTCACTATAAAATGAGAATTGAATAGTTTTCACTTGATATTTATTTAATTAAATTAATGTTCATCGAATTAAATTAATATTTTATTTATTTTTTGTGGATTACTAAAATTAAATTATAAAATTTTTAATTTAAGATTTTTTAGTGGCGCTATCTATTATTATAAATTAAAACTAAGAGATGTGCATTATGCCTACTTATTTATAACTTATTTTTAATGTTTTTTTTTTTTTTTTGTTGAATGTTTTATAATACTGAAAAACTATTAATTCTAAGAAATCAAGCAGTTGTCTTTTAAGATGTCTCTTTTATTATTTTTTGATTGCATAATTCTCATCAAAATAAAAGTCAATGATTATGAATTGTCCATTAAATTAATACCATAAGTAATTAGAGAATAAATTTACAAAAAATTCTCTCTTTTAATTCTAATACATTTCCATTGGATTGTAAATATTTTTTTATTATTTAATTGCAGGAAATTATTTATTTGCCACCACAGTGCGTTTATGAAAGTGCCACAGGAGAAATGTAAAAGAAGTTTTTCAAAAACTTTTAAAATTTTTTTGCTGAATTATAATAAAATTTTTTAAACATTTTAGAATATTTTCCTCTAAGATATGATAAAATCTTTTTTAAGTAATCAAACATAATTTTAAAAGTTTTTATATACATTTTAAAATCTCATATAATAATTTCAAACTTAACTGAGTGGTTCTGCAATCATACTTAATAAATTTAAGTAAGAGATTTTAATTTCTAAGTGCATAAGGATATTCACAATGCTACTCAATTTGAATATTAATCAATCATTATATATATATTACATAAAAGCTAGCTAATAAAACTTTAATTTATGATAATTATTATTATTATTATTATTATTATTATACTAATATTATTATTAATTTTCATAATGCTAATTTGATGTTTTACCAAAACATGATTGTTTACCTTGCATTTAACTAAAATTCATAACATTAATGTTAAAAAATATTTGCATAAAATTTAAAGCAAATTAGATTTAAATAAATGTGTTATTATTAAAATACAATTAATAACGCTGTTTAATTTTTTGAACAAAACTTTAACATTTGTCATAAAATTAGTACGAGAAATATACTGGAACTGATTTATGATTGATTTACATTTTGGGAACAAACTACAGAGAAATGTTATTGAGGAGGAGCTACAAAAAGACTTAACAGAAGGCAATGCCGAGAAAGCCAATCAGCGCTCTCAAAATCTCTTGGGGATACTATGTGTGTAAAGAGAGTTTACATGCTACCGGCATATCGAGTAAAGGAAGCGTCTGTCTTTGAGATAATTGGTTTAGATGTGGCGGGTCCTTTGTACCTTAAAGAAAGACAAAAGGTGTGGATACTTCTAATAACATGTGCTATCTACCGAGCAGTTCATTTGGAACTTTTGACTGCTCGATCCACTGACAACTTCTTATTGGCTCTAAGAAGGTTCATTTCACGACGCGGAAGACCTTCGAAGATCTATTCGGATAATGGGACTAACTTCGTCGGATTTGAAAAACTGCTGAGAAATGTTGATCTCGAGAGATTGAAAGGTGAAATCGCTCCCATCACTTGGAAATTTATACCACCTTCAGCTCCATGGTGGGGTGGTTTCTGGGAACGTTTAGTAGGTCTTATGAAGCAGATTTTGAGAAAAGTGCTGGGAAGAACTTCGCTAAGTTATGAGGAAATGGCTACTGTTTTGTGCGAATGTGAGTGTCTTCTCAATTCAAGACCACTTACCCATGTTTCTGATGATGCAAATGACTTGAATCCAATTACACCAGCAATGTTTTTGCAAGAAAACAAAAGTAATGATGTTACAGATCTTGACCAATGCAGCCAAACAGATGGAAAAAGTTTAAATAAACGTTTGGCATACCGGTTAAGAATTTTAAAAGATCTACGTTCGAGATTTCGAGTGGATTACCTAGGACAACTACGAGAAAGTTACAGAAAGAAAAATAACGTCCCTGTTCCTAAAGTAGGTGACATAGTACTCGTATGGAGTGACAACATCAAGAGACTTAACTGGCCGATGGCACGAATTTTGGAAACATATCCCAGTCAAGATGGACTTGTTCGTTTAGCGAAAATAAAGACAAAATCTGGTGTCTTTATTCGCCCTGTTCAGAAACTGTGCCCTATGGAACTGGATAGTTGTGATGTTATTGCCAATAATACTCCGAATGATTGTGTCAACCCTAACCCTTCAGTGACTGATAACTACAGAAAAACTGATTCTGTGACCACTCGAGCTGGTAGGGTTGTGAGAGTGCCTCAACGTTTTGGACAGTAATATGTGTTGAGTTTCAGTGATCGACATCTCTAAAACTCAAGAGGGGAGTGTCGAGAAACTGCGACGAACAATCTAACTTTAAAATTTTAACTGTAACTGTAGCGAGGCGGAAGTTTTGTAAACAGAAGGGGAATGATCGCCTCAGAGAGAAGAGGTTGATATGTAATGCTCATTTCAAAAAAGCTTAATGTTTCGTTTTCAATTATGTTTCTTGTTACGTTTTGTGTTAAATATTAAATGTTTTAAAAAGAAATAGTTAATTCCTTTAATGGCAGAACTTGTTACTTTTTATTATTGACATCTTTTTATTTTTACAAGAGTAGCGATCCTTTTTAAAGCGAAAGAAAAGCTTTCCATCTTCTCACCGGGAAAATTGAAGAACAACAGAAATTGCAGGTAAGGTAATTTTACCTTTACCTTTAGTTAAGAATTATTATTGAATTTATTTGAGTTGATTGATAAATAATTTTTTACAATCTTATTGTAGAACAGAGAGTTGGACAAACTTTTTGATTCTGTTTAAAAGATACTACAGATATTTTCTTAATGTTCACCTTTTAAAGATAACTCATTACTTTTAAAGCCATGATTTCCTAGGGGATGATGTCATTGTCAATTTGAATGTAGAGAAGAATAATATCAAATTTTAATAATAATTTAGCCAGTAGTGCAGTGTCACAATTTTATTATACAAAACATATGATCGGATATGATGGCCTCGCTACATCGCTTTTTCTCCTGTGAGTTACACATCGAAATGTTACCCTATCTGTTTTATACTGTTTACAGTTTTTCGACAATAATAAAATATGAAATGTTTTATTTCTTTTAGAACATGAAGCGTATATATAATTAAATAAATTAATCTTTAATTAGGGTATGAAAATTAAATTAAAAAATATATAAGTTTTTAAAACAATATTCACTTTCATTATAGTACATTAATCATGTCATTAATAATCAGGAACATATTTTTACCAACATTTCAGTATCTACAAAAAATTCATCAAACCTCTAAAAAAATTTCAGCTTTAAAACATTTTTTTTTTTTTTTAAATTTCCTTCTTCTTTTAGTTTTATTATTTGTTTTATAATTTGGTCAGATAATCTGATGATATATAGTGTCTGTCGATGCAATGGTATCTAATTTATTTGTCAGCAGAAAATTTTGCAAAAATTTTTTTGAACCATATAATTAAAGTAAGCTTATTTTAGGTGGTTCTATTGCAAACATGTATGGAATGTCAGTCGGACGTTTTCATCTTAATGCCTCAACTAAAACTAAAGGCATGAGTCATTTACCACCTTCAGTAGCTTTTATATCTGATCAGGTATGCCATTTAGTTTTTAGGCAAAGTTAGTGATTTTTAACATTATTCTTAGCGTAATTTTTAACTATTAATATCTAAAAAAAAATTTCAAAAAAAACAGCGTATTTTAAAATTTTAGTATATTTAAATAGTTAAGAGTTTTATATTATATACATTATGCATACCATGCTGGGAAAACCTGGTTGGTAGGGCGTTGGACCCATGTCCGATAGGTCATGAATTCAATCCCTAACGGTCGTAGATTCCAAGTGTAGTAGTAAATGGTAGCTGGTGCACATTAAATCTGTTGGGTCACAAAGTCCTCCAAGTTCCCACAACAAATCAATATCTCTGGGGGAGCCGTGATGGTTCATTGGATAGAGAGCTCGTCTTCCAATGAGGTGAACCAGGGTTCAAATCCCAGCAATGGCTTGTCGATACGAATTCGCATCCGGCTTGCACCTACCACAGTGCTGACGTGAAATATCCTCTGGGGTAGACGGATCATGTGTTAGAGTCCCTTTGCGGTTAGGCTAACCGTGGAAGGTTCTCGTGGTCTTCCTCTCCATGTAACGTATATGCGTGTTAGTTCCATCAAAAAGTCCTCCACGAAGGTAAATTTTTATCAAAACCTGATCCAGGAGTTCCCTTATCTTCTGGATTAGGTTCAAAATTACAAGGCTTTGGAGAACATTAGTAGTCGTAAACCCAAAAATTGGGTTGGCTGTTCAACGACGGTTTTAAAATAAAATATAATAAAAATCTCTGGGGGTACTGAATTGGAGATTAATCGTTCTTTGGTGCAAGTCAAAATTACAATCAGTGGATGAGCGAATGGGTCCGCCCTTTAAAACGGACTGTAACGTGTGTGTGGCGGAACTTGTATTCTTGGCTATAGATGGCGGCACTGAAAATCAATAAGTACACTTACTGCCTTAAATTCGTTTGGTTTCACCAAATAGGCATGCTGGTATTTGGCAAGTTGATATTCAAAACAACAACATACATACTATTCAAAGATATTTAATTAACAATCACTAAAAAATATCTTCGATAATTTATATTTAAAATCATAATAGTACGCAGAAGAAGTACACGATTGTCATTATTTGTTTAGTACATATTATTATTAATAATTTTTTATAATAGTGTGGATTAAGTCACAGAAATATTGCACGTTTTTATTGTATGATATTTGAAGCACACCTTTTTTAGGACAATTTTTATAAAATATATTTGAAAACAATAAGCAATGAAATTTTATTTGTTTTAAGTCAAGAAAATGAAGGTAAATTTAGAAGTTATTTTAACACTTTCAGAGCTACCTGTAACCGGTGAAAAGTGTTCCACTAACTGACCGTAAAAAATAAATATATGCTCATAAAGCCTTCCTGATCATAAAATGTCTACTCGTAATTTTTTTTCTACATATCGTTAGAGACCATAAATTTATGCTCGTTAAAGTTATCGAATATAAAGTTTGTCGAATTAAAGCGAATCGTGAAACAAAAATAAAGTAGTGTAGTGCTGCCATCTTTTGAGGATTAAGAGAGATGCTTATTCATTTCTCGATGTTATATATGTAGCAAAGAATATATAAGTGAGAATATATAAGTCACTAAGAATATATAAGTCACATTATATATTCTTTGTATGTAAGCAGAGGGAGAGATAAATATTCATTGACGATGGCTGTGATAAAATCCAGAACCTATGTGTTTATTGCCTATACTGTAGACATCATGAAAAAGGGTTTTCATCCCGAATTAAGTTAGGTAGCTTTATATAGTTACTGCGAAAGAGAGAGTTAATTGAAGCCCGACTAATAACAACAGTAATTTGCTTCGATTAAGACAAAATGTTAACTTGTAGTTCTGGTTAGGAAACAGTCTTAGTTTAGTATGAATTTAAAGTAAAAAAATTAATTTTGTCTATTTATATTATATTATAATATTTCGTTTATCATCACTTTGAAGTGAAATTGATTTTTGTTAAGGTCAAGGTAAAATCATTAATAAATATTTATAGTTGATGGTGTGGCCAATGTATTTTTTTTCCCTCAAAGAAGGGAGATGGCCTTATTAGTTAATCGCCATTTCTCCGAATTTCTTACAGTCAGGTATTTTAAAAATGAATTGTAAAAAATTGAAGAAATTTCTCCGCAACATGCCTGTTACACAAAAATGAAGCATTATGACATTTATTTTTAAGTCTCATTAGGATTACATGAAAAAATATTTAATTACCTATTAAAATGTTATATTTCAGAACAAGCATTTTCGTAACATTTTTGACAGCATAAGGAAATTATGATATTAAAGAGATTAAAAACATTTCTTAAAATATATAAGTTTTTTTTTTTTTTTTTTTTTTNTTTTTTTTTTTTTTTTTTTTTTTTTTTTTTTTTTTTTTTTTTGTTGCTGTAAGAGATTTCCTGCAACGAAATTTTTTTTTTTTTCCCGATTGCAAATTCTATGTTTGAAACCTGCAAGGGCGCCGGCAGAAAAATATAAAAGGGGGTGCAACGCTCTAACAAACTACCCCCCCCCACACACACACAAAAAAATATTAAAACTATTCTGTTATTATATTTTGTTTTGTTATTACATATACTTTCATCTGTTAATTTTTTCAAGATACATTTCTTCACTGTTAACAAGATATTTAAAAAAAAGTACGAATCTCTTGTACTTGCAAATTTTACCACGAGAAACTGTATTGATTGCGCTGGCATAGCTACTGACCTTGAAACACAAATAACTACTAACAGTAGCTTCGTATACTAACGCGTTTGTGCACGCTTAACATTGGTGTTTATTGTGTTGATGAAGTTTTACAGTTGTGAGAAGTCAGTTTATGTTATACACCTTTGTTAAACTAAATAACTAATAGAAAATATAATATTATTTATACATTTTATTAAATGAAATTTAAAAATATAGCTTAGATATCTGCCAAGTTTGTTCAATACAAATATGTTTAATAAAAAACTTTTATAGCAAAATTGTTTTTCTGTATCTTTTTAATTGTTTTTAAAAAAAAAGGCAGGGGGTGCAAGTGCACCCCCTTGCACCCCGCTGCCGGAGCCCTTGGAAACCTGTTAATACTTTTAAAAAGATTGCAATTAAAGTTTCCGTTAGAAATTAAGTTACTTGTAAACACATCTTTAACTTAAAATGATAATAATAATAAGTCTCTTTTTATTTCTTTTTAACGATAGTGATTCCGAGGAGGCAAATGAATTAAAAAATTTATCCAAGAAAAACGGAAGGCCATAGAAATTCACGGTATACTGTGCTTTGTTTAAAAAGGGAAATTATCTTCTTATCTAGTTCAAAATTTCGTCAAAAAGCAATATTTCAAAAATAACCGCCATTTACGGAATTAATGAAGCTAAGTTTGAGAACAAAATTCATTAACATACGTACGTTCAAATATTTTAGGTCGAGTGTTCTTACATGCAGCGAAGAGTTTTAGTTTTATGAGTTAGTACCGCTATCTGTTGCCGAAATTTGTAACTAATAATGAATCATAGTTTAAAAAACTCTTCTTATTAACAAAACACAACTAACTGTACTTCCTATCTTACTCTATACTTTAATTTTATATCATCAGTAATTTTTAATATAATTGAAAAATCAAAATTTCTTTAACCATTAATTTGTATATGCGATGAATATATGATTGTATATGCGAATACGATGGTTGCTGAAATTACATAGCAATAAGAGTAAAAAAAATGACGTATTCTTTCACTGACGGTTGAAAAGTATCACTTCGTTTTGTCCCTTGTTTTAAGAACTATCATACACAAAGACTAATATTTAGCTTTTTTCATTTGCCCGAAATAACTCTAGATTGTAAACTGATTTTAAATTATAGGTTTTTTACTCATAAAAAATTCAAATTTCAACTTAAAACTTGAGCACTATGTTTTGTTTCATTTCCTTGTATTTGTTAATAAAATAAAAAAAATATGTTAATTTTTTGCTTATTTTTAAAAAATAATTGGTAAGGGATGTGTTTAATCCCGTCTTCCTCAATAGTGATGTGTCAATTTTTATAAAATTTCTGATTTTCTTCTTTAAAAATGAATTTGCAATCCACATGCATAATTTTATTTCATAAAAATGTTACATTAAGCATTAAAAACATGACTATATTTATGGCGGGGATTACGAAGCTACTGTTACAAATTTTATAATTTTTTGTTACTGATTTATTTTGATCTCAAGTAATTACTGTTTTTTAGGCTCATTACTCGTTGGAAAAAGGAGCATTGTTTTTAGGCTTTGGAATAGAAAACATTATTAAGGTGCCCAGTGACTCACATTGTAGAATGATACCGGAAGAATTAGAAAAATGTGTGCTAAAAACTAAAAGTGAAGTAAGTTATCAGTGGAAAATTTTTCAAAATATTGATTCGTTTAAATTTAATTTAGTTAAATCGGCTGAAAAATTAAAAAAGAAGTCGTTTTTTGCTATTTGAGAGAGAAGTCGCTCATGGGCTGCTATAACAGCGCAACTCAAAAAATCATGTTTTAAGATAAGTGGGTTTAAAGTTTTCATTGCTAAGGAAAATGCATAAGAAATGCTTTAGTTTGCTTAAACGAAGATTACCTTCAAGTTGAATAATGAGTTGTGCTAGTATTCCTGCTGAAAAGAATGTGTATTTTCATATTTACACTTCATCTCATGTTTACACCAAAACGCGTAATTTTTCACTTGTGCCACTATTGCAGCCCATGAGCGAAATTATTTTGAAAAAGAGCTACATAAATTCAAAGCGCTACATAAATAACATACGCTCAAAAAATCTGCATTTTTAGGGTGGACAATGTTTTCAAGCGTTATACACTGTAAAAATTGTGGCGTAATATCTCTCAAATTTTGACCCGAAAATGTGTTAAGGAACACCTTTTTTAGTTAGTTAACATCAAATCGAGTTAACACCAAATCAAGTTTTCGCATATAATTTAAATGGTGCATGAAAGCACTTAAAAAGCAAAAAGTTTTCTCCAAGATCACTAGCCTTTACACCGTACGTCAAATATTTTCACTTCGAGAAACTCAAACGTTGGCGCATTTCGTATATTATTTATAATTGTTTACAATCGAGTTGGCAAGTGTTTGTGGTTTTATTCAGAGATGCTTTTCATCTACAGAAATTAAGATTCGCCGTTAAAATATGTATGTATGTTTTCAGTTGCGTAATAAAGACATTTATATTTTAATTTTTAAACCTCTTTAAACTGCATTTAATAGTTTTATAATGTATAATTGCTATCCGATTCTGCTCTGTTAAGCCTAATTCGAATTCGTCTTAATATTCTTACTATACTATGTGTGATTTACAAACTCATTTTATTTTAAGAATTAGTGAATATATACAATTGCTTATTCCTACTTTATATTTTCTAGAAAGAAATAACTGATTCTGATGTGTATCATATCTTTCTGCAATTATAAATTTTAGTCTTACAGAATAGCAAACATGTTGGCGGTTATTTTATACCAAATGGTATAAGAAAACATTGCACCAAATTCTTGGTGCAATGGAATACTTAATGAACCATTTTAGTGTAATGTAGTTGCCACCATTTTCGTTGTTCTGCTACACCAAAATATTTTACAGTGAATAGAATTTTACTGGAAACATTTCACATTATTTACTTTTTACTAATTCCTGTTTAAAATCAAAGTTTTAAAAATTTCAATGTTTCACAGGAGCAAAATTTCAAATATTTTTATGAAAGTGCAGGTATTTATAACTTATTATCAACCAATTTAACTTATTATTAATAACTAATCGAAGTATCTTATTTCTGTTCTCCAGGGAAAATTCCATTTTTTGTTTGTGCCACAGAGGGAACAACTGTTATCGCTGCCTATGATCCAATAAAACCTATATCTGATGTTTGTAAAAGGGGCGATTCCACGAAAAGTGGTCCTGAGTGACTAAATTTTCAAAATTATCGTAAAATGACACAATTTCGGAATCTAGAAGATGTACATTTTTTAATAGTTAAGATAGATTTTTGAATTACAAAAAATATTTATGTGAATTCTAACAAAAGGTGGAACACTATGAATTTTAACAGGAGTTCTCTTCTTTGTTATGTTATATTCCAATGGAGTTCTTAAAATATTAAAGAGCAATAAAATAGTTTTTAGTAATAAATATAACTATTTTACTCTTTTATCATTGTTTAATGTATTTTTTTAATTTGGCCTAAATTTTTTTGCTTGTTTGAAAGTCGATTAATCAAGATAGTCTAATTTCCCAGTAACACACGTAACATAATTTTGCATTTTTTTCTGTAAAAACTTTAGTAAAAAAGAAAATTTAAAAATTTTTTGTTTTATAAATTAAGAAGGCAAGATATGCAACGGAAAAAATTCTCGAATTAAAACTGCCAATAGTTAAAATTTTATAATTAATTTTATTCAAGGTAACACACGTAACGAAAAGTTACGCGCGTTACTGTTATGTGTGTTAGAGGTACTTATACACTTTAATTATTTATTTATTTTCAATAAAAGATTTAAATCATGTTCGGACATTTTTTATAACCGCCGCGCAACTTCAATGCCACAAATACGGAATTGTAAGATTGTGGTTTTTTGTAAAATCAGGTCGGTATAAGCATTAATAAAAAAACAGCATAATAAGACGATAATTTTGAAACTTTTGGAAATTGTTTTCCCAAACTTCTATTTGTTATACGTTTATGTTTAAGTAGAATATTTCGACTGCATTTGCTAGATTATTATAAAATGGATAAGCTTAAAATAGTGTCCTTATCTGGATTTAAAAGAATAAGAAGATGAAGAAAAAAAGAAAAGAGCATAAGATTCTGCACTTCAAAGGAAAGAAAATAAGGAAATAATGAAAGTTAGACTTGAACTTTCAAAACAGATTGATAATGATGTAAAAGGTTCACCACTAAGTATTTCAGATGAACTTAATTATTAATAAATGGATTTTCTTCAAAAGTTAGATTGTTTATACTATGCTTGTATTGAAACAAGAGCTGGTTCTCTGGATTATTACGGGGAAAAACGGGCAATAAAACGAAAGAACTATCTAACAATGTTTCTAAGAGAGGCTTATACTGATTTTTGTCAGTTGCATCCTAAACATTGTTTAATTTTCCATATTTAGTGCTTTATGACTAAAAAATTTATTGCTACTGTAAAACTTAGAATCAAAACAAATATCATGAAATTTTTATTCTTTAACTGGAAGGCTAAAATTAAGTTTATGACAATACATGGTGATGGTAGAAGTATTTATGTATATAAAGTAAAAGAAATTTTGGATCTAATTGTTGGAAGGGTGCTTCTGATACTTACAAAAATTTCTCATTGCTTGTTATAGGTTTCTAACCATCATTTATTGTAGTTTGGTAACGATGAGAAAAAGATGACAATAGCTCACAATAAAAAATATATAATGGCAAATGTGCAAGAAGAATGTTTTGAAATAACTCTTGAAAATTGGACTAACTTTCAATAATACGTAAGAGTTAAAAGAATCCGAGGTGATACTTTCCAAACAAACATATCTAGCATTAAAACCAGGGAAATTCAAGTTGACTTTGCAATGGCATATTCTTTTGAATATCAAAACGAATTTCAATCAGCATTATGCTATCCAGCCACAGTTCCGTTATTCACAGCAGCTGTTGTCTTAGACGATACTCTCCTAAAGAGTTTAAAATAGAGTCCTTTACAATATTTTCCTAAGGCAAAGACAAAGGTGAAACAATGTCTACACTTTTATTTTAAGACTGTTTAAAAACGATTCTACTTCAGAAGATGAGCTAACAGAAACCTTCTATAGTAATAAGTCAAGTTAAGAATTTAAAAATAAATATATGGTTGAATTATTTCATATTTTGTCAATCAAAATATAAAAAAAGAAATTAATTTGGAAATATTTTACGATATCACATGCAGAAGTTCCTTCTATGGGATAGGTGTGTAGTACAAAATCTTGAAAGCGAAGCAAAAAGCAAAGTTATTTATATCATTGTGTTGTTATACAAAAAAATTTATTTGCTATCCAGTGTTGTTTGCAAAGCTAACCAATCAACTCATGCCTAATACAACAGTATTATATATTAGCCAAAAGGAAATAAAGATATTAATTGAAAAGATCAATACATGGCAACGGTAATACAAAGCATAAAATCTATGCATAAGTATCGTTAGATACTTGAATAAGATGCATAGATGCACATTGTGGCACACAAATAGTCAGTAAGTCAATTTCTGTTCCCTCCTGATCAGAAGTGCGCCTATAACTGAAATTAAAACGACATATGCTCTATCTCGGGAACATTATTGACGCAAATGCACATGCTTGTAAACTTAAAATGCAATATTTGCATAAAATAATTGGAAAATATGCATATTTTTGTTTCCAAACAGAAATGATTTTGAAGGAATAGATGTGCCTAAGATTTGCTATGTTTTACTCTCTAAACCAGTATAAAGAAGGGCTACAACCATCTTTCCAGACCATTAACTATTTTATTTGCTAAAATAAATTGTTTTTCTTCTGCTAAATTAAAATAAATAAATGTTTTAGTGCAACATTTATGACTTCTCAGTTGAAATATTCACAGAGGGTAACACACGTAACGTTCAGTTAACACACGTAACGCACCAATTTCACCAAAATAAAGAAGTTTTTACTGTTGCAAGAAATTTTTAAAAATCACTAAACACAGCTTCGATATTGTATCTCTCTATAAAAGAAAATATCTTAATTTTTTGCCTTTATACTTCACAGAATTAAATGAATATATTCAAAGTTTCAAATATCTAGCATTATAAAGGGTAACACACGTAACAAAATTTCAGAAATTTTTTTTTTCAACATCAAATTAATTTGCGCCTTCAATCTTCGTTTTGAAAACTTACAACACATATAGATTTAACAACAAATTAAGAAAAACATAAAAAATATCTAACAAGTTTATTATAATAAGTGTTAAAGTTGAAATATGTCGTGTAAAAGTAACACACGTAACGAAAGAATCGCCCAAAAGGCACAATTTATGGCTGCACGCTGATGTAAGAGGTTTTATTATCTCTAGTTAATATTTTTATGGTACCTACTCATTTTCAGAAGCGGTAACAAAAACAAACGTTAATATTTTAATTCATTTGTGACCACCACTAGATTGTTTTTTTTTTCTTCTTTTTTTGAAAAATATATCTGTACGAAAATTTTACTTTCAGTGCTATAAAATGTAATATTTAATAAATTTTAATAAAAAATCTTCTAATAAACATCTTGAGACCAAGATAACCCGACTGCAAGGGTGCTGGACTCTTGCTTGTGAGAACGGGAGTTCGAATCCTGTCGGCCGAAGACTCCCAGTGTAGTAAATGGTAACTGGTGCACGTTAAATCTGTCGTATCACATACTCCTCCATGTTCCCATAACAAATTATACCTCTTAGGGTACTGAATTGTAGATCGATCGTTCTCTGTTTCAGGTCAAAATTACGATCTGTGAATGAATGGATGAATGTATGAATGGGCCCTCCCTACAAAAGGGTGTGGTAGAAGCCGCAGAGGTCGAATTCTTGCGACACTGGAAGGCAGGAACAATCGCACCCCTTACCTAAATGGCCAACGGCAACAACAACGATAAACTTCTTGCTTGAAGAACTTATCGGAAAAAAATAACAAGCCTCAGTTTTTTTAACTTTAAATATCTGGAACAAAATTAAGAAAAAGAAGCTGTGACTAGCGTTTAACGTTGGTTAATACCCTCGATAGTTCTTCTTATTATTATTCTTATTCAGACTTTAGTTTCTGGCAGTAATAAAAATGCTTGACACAATCGAGAGCCACGGTGGTCCAGGGGGTAGAGTGTTTCCCTCTCAATGAGGTGACCCAGGTTCGAAATCCAGCGGTGGCAGGTTGATACGACTTCACTGCTCCAGGCTCGCACTGACCGCATTGCTGTCGTGAAATATCCTTAGTGGTAAACTGATCATGGATTAGAATCTCTTTGACATTCCATGGGAGGTTCATATGGTTTTCCTCTTCATATAACGCGAATGCGGGTTAATTCTACCAAGAAGTTTGTCCCAAAAGAATAGGCTTGTTTGTTCCAATACTTGATCCAGAAGTTCCCTCGTCTTCTAGGTTAGGTTCAAAAATTATAAGGCTGTGGATTGATAGTTGCAAACTCCAAATCGATTCTGCTGTTCAACATCGGTTTTAAAAAGAAATAATACAATCGAGATTACGTCAAAATATTTGTAACGAAGAAACATATATTTATTATTCTCCCCATCGTGACTATTTAAAGTTAAAGTGATAGCTAAAACAACATGGCTCATTAAACACTTCTAAATTCTTAATTCTTTGAAAAAATATTTTTTTTTGACTTCGAACTGTTTCATAATCAAGCCATCATTTAGAATTGTAACATGCTGAGTTATGGATATTATTTAATTTTATAACCTGCCGGCCAGGTGGCCGAGCGGTTAGCGTGCCTGACTGCGAAGCCATAGGCTGCGGGTTCGAATCCCGCTCTGGGCATGGATGTTTCTCTCTCTCTCTTTGTGCTGTCCTCTGTTGTGTGTATGATGTGTGAATGTGGCCCACCCTATAAACGGGTTTGTGGCAACGAGCAATGTTGCTCGCCTCCGTGACTTTGGTTCCCAGGTGCCCACTGGGTAACGCGAAATGAGCAACAATTCTGGCATAGTAAAGGCAAAGATTCAAATTCAGTGCCTGCCATTAGGAAAAAAAAATTTTATAACCTAGTGAAATATAATACAAAAAATTTATGATTAAAAATTATGTAATAAATATATAGTTTAGTTATTAATTATTTTAAGATGAAGACATTTGGAGTCCATATCAACCAGGCAACACACCAGGCATACTCACAAATAAATGTCTATATCCCAATCATTTTCTGAATTGAAAAAAAAATCCCTTCATATCAAATGGAAATTTTTTTTAAAAATTCGAAAACTGTTCTGCATTATTTTGAATAATTTTCTTTATTATAGGGTGCTTGGGGTGGTGTAACTATTTTTTCTCGAACTCACCGTAAACTAATGGATGGTCTTGAAAGGTAATAATAAGAGTTTCGCAATTTCTATTCTAATAAAGACTTTAAATATGATTTTAATAATAGTAATTAATTCAAGTAACTAAAAATAACGAGTGATTCTTAATGACTGCCCTCTGTATATATTTCTAGAATCCTTTTAAAAATGAAATCAAAGAAGAACGCACATTAGAAATTAATATTTAAGCGAGTGAAAAACATAACGATATCAAAACCATTCGAGTTATTAGTGAAAAAAGTAGAATGAAAATTTTCGAAAACAGTTTGATTGCTTGAGGAAATTTCCAGGTGTTTCCAATAATCGTCTTTAAATTTCTGTTTCTTGACGCAATCAAACTTGTTTTGATATTACAGTACAGCTTTACCCACAAATATATAACGAAAATTTTTCTTCAACTCGAAACCTCATCAAGTGCATAGAGGGAGATTGTTAACTAGAATAAGGACTGGACAATAAAGTGAAATAAAGTTTCATGGGTGTAAATTGTCTCTCTGTTGTTCTATTTGACCATATTGTGTTCTGCCATCTAATAGTGTGCATCTTAAAGTGATTATTAGAAAATTTAAATACTGCTAGGTTTTTTTTTTATTTTTAGAAAAAATAGAATGGCGAAATATTTCGTCAATTTTGACGAAATTCGTTCTTCGAAGATGTGACAATATTTATTTCGCCATTTTGATGAAATTTTTATTGGGGCATATTCAAAGAAACGGTTTCGTCTAAAACGAAGAAAGTTTCGAGGCATTTAATTTCAATTTTTGCAGTGTAAGAAGCTTCTTGACGTGTCTATACAATTTTGATTTTCTGGCGATTAAGATTTTCACAAATTCACTAAAATATTTCTTTCATCAAGTTCTTTCTTTATTTCTAAGTTGGCGATTGTTTGCCAATCACGAGGTAAGCTCCTGACCTCACTAAGAGAAGCTGAGAGCTCATCTCGTGGTAGCCAGACTATAGTCGGCTAGTGAACTTATAGTCTGAACTAATAATTCAAATATTCTGATATAGTATTTATTTACATTTTAGGGCAGATTCTATGACCATTGACTTTCATAAAATGTCAGGAGTACCATTTCTATGCACAATGTTTCTTACTCGTCATAAGGTAATTTTAGATGAATTTTATGGGGAAAAGTATCTCGTAATAACTGCCCTTAATAAATAGTTTTACAATTCCTGTCGGAAATGAAGTAAAAATAGTATACAAGTCTAGGAATGCAAATCAATGCTTAAGCTAAAAGAAACATCAAGTCCTTATAAATACTATTTGTGAAAAGAAAATAATAAATGTGATCAAAGCTAGACATATCAAAATACTGCTGTAGACGTATTGAAATAGTAGCTGTAAAGGTGGATCAGTACCGATTCACCTTTAATTTAGGATGTTGAATTTTTTAAGTCAGGATGAAGCAATAATGAAGAGATTTTGCAAAGCGTTACGATTCCCCTAACTCTGACATTAACGCTATTTGATCTTTTCAGCATATGAGCTAAACTTTTCCTCCAAATCTAAGGAATAAATAAGGAGAAAATAAGGTTAGTGTCCCGACTGACGTAAGACAAGCTATGCAAAATCTCTCAATTTTTTTCGATTATGCATACGTTTAGATACAAAAGTGTTTGAGAAATAAGCCGATTTTTTGTAAAAATTTCGCGCTTTCTTATTTTAATCCACGATTTTTTAGATTAGATCATTTGAAAACTGTTTTTAACAAAACAAAAAAAAAAACTATTATTTGTAGTTTTAAATATAGAGTTTATTTTTTGAGTTAATTACTGAAGCTATGAATTCAGTTTACTTGACATTGTTTTGGAGCAAAAAAGTGGTTTTGAAAAATACACTTTAGAAATTTTCTGAGCACACGCAGTATCATGAGCTCCTTTGAGCGGCTAAACACCACTGAGCGAAAAAGAACTTTTTAAAATTTTAGACTATACAAACTTTGTAAAATTGCGTTATGTAGAAGACATTTATTCAATAAAAACAAAACTAGATAACCATATTAAGTAAAAAGTCTTAATATACATAATGTTTCACTTATTAATAATCATAATCGTAAATTTTTCTCACCTTGCCCTTGGTCTTAGTTCAAAATTTTCTGACAGATGGCGTTGCAAGTACTTTCTACCATTCTACCTTCAAATTGCGACTTGTAACTGCTTAAAATGGACATTTCAAATGTATTGAAGTTTTTTTTCTTGCATTAAAATAATTCGAAAATATAGATTTTTATTGTTTTTCTTTGAATAACAGATTTATTATCTGTATCATTATCTGTTGAGAAAAAAACTCAACTAATACAAAGAAAACAGGGAGAAAAAAATTAATAACCAGTCTCATACATTTGCAATAAGATTTGTTTTTTACAACTTAATTTTTTTTTTTTACTGCAATTGCTTGTTGTTGTACGTGTTGTACTGCAATTACTTGTTGTTGTACGTGTTGTACTGCAATTACTTGTTGTTGTACTGTAATTACTTATTACTACTTTATTCTAGACTGTCCATGGTGATGGTATGGAGTCCCACTTATATATTTAGTAGCAAAAAAAGGGGCTCAATTTTAAAAACTATTCTTTTGATCGTTTATTAAATTTTTTTTGAACATAATATAATAAAAATGCATTAATTTTCAGGGTATCCTTTACAAATGCAACGCTCTTCAAGCGGAATATTTGTTTCAGCCTGATACCTATTATGATACTAGTTATGATTTGGGTGATGAGAGTATTCAATGTGGCAGAAAAGTTGATTGTTTGAAATTGTGGATCATTTGGAAAGGAAGAGGAAATTTGGGATTGGAGAGGCAAGTTGACGTAGCATTTGCTATGGCCCGGTAAGTCCGAATTTATTTTGAAATCATAAGCTTATCAGTAAGATAATTAATTTTTAATATTTATTTAATGAAAAGTATTTGCTAAAAAATGGGAAATCGTGGATCATTTGAAAAGGTAAGGGGAATATGGCATTGGAGAGGCAAGTTGACGTAGCATTCACTATGCCCCAGTAAGTCCGAATTTATTTTAGAATCATAAGCTTTTCAATATGATGATAAAAAGTGAAATTGTGGATCATTTGACAAGTTAGGGGAAATATGGTATTGGAGAGTCAAGTTGACGTAGCATTTGCTATAGCCCAGTAAGTCAATTACGAATTTATTTGCAAATAATAAGCTTTACAGTATGATGATTAATTTTTAATATTCATTTAATGAAAAGTATTTGCTAAAAAATGGGAAATCGTGGATCATTTGAAAAGGTAAGGGAAATATGGTATTGGAGAGGCAAATTGACGTAGCATTTGCAATGGCCCAGTAAGTCAGAATTTATTTTAGAATCATGAGCTTTCCAGTATGATGATAAATTTTCAATACTTGTTTACTAAAAAGTATTTGCTAAAAAAGTGAAATTGTGGAACATTTGAAAAGGTAGGGGAAATATGGGATTGGAGAGACAAGTTGACGTAGTATTCGCTATAGCCCAGTAAGTCAATTACGAATTTATATCAGAATCATAAGCTTATAAGTATGATGATTAAATTATAATATTTTTTTAATAAAAGTATCAGCTGAAAAAGATAAGTATAACTCATTACACTTTCAACGTGATTAATTCAACTTCATTCATTAATTCATAATGATTAATTCATTAACCAAGTGAAAGATTTGAAAAAATTGTATACGGGAGTTGAAGAAATTCCTCTTTTTTCCGGCTTTTTAATTTATATTCTAAATTTTTTTTAATTATTTTATTTTACTACTGTAAGCTTGCAGCTTATGCGCAGTAAACAAAAACTTTTTCTTAATTTTCGTCGTTTTTCTCTTTTTTCAAAGAGAAATACGAAGAAAATTAATAAGTTTTATTAACTGCGCATAAGTTGCAAGTATATAGAACTCATATTAAATAAGCTTGGTTTATTTAATAATTGGTCTTTTTTAATAATTTTCTTCTCTTGTCATTATTTTTTACTATTTTACATATTTTCTCAATATTTTGCTTATTTTATGAGTTCTATATACTTGCAGCTTATGAGCAGTTAATAAAACTTATTAATTTTCGTCGTTTTTCTCTTTGTTTTTATTGTGCTATGTTATAGTGATCATACTTAAAGCAACTTTAGCGCTTGATATTATCTACTACTAACTTACTTTCGTTTTCTTTTTGTTTCCGTTTTTAGTTCGGTTTTGTTTTTATTGTGCTATGTATATAAATATATAAATTTATTCTGTTATTACTACACTTACAAACCTATTTGTTACAAAAATATTCCCTCATTTTTAATTGGTGCTGTTGTTTAGACTTTACATCAGCCCAATGCTTTGAATGAAAGGAATGGTCAAAAGCTGACCCCCCACAGTTTTCCCCAGATGGTCAACTCACAAAAGGGTTTAGATTAGCTTTTTACACTATTTCACCAAACAAGTGAAATTTTAACATACATTGCAAAATGACAGAAAATTTTCTGATTTTTTTTCTGGTCAACTTATGAAGGTTTTAGAATAGAATTTCATAATACTCCTAGACAAAATTGACTTATTTCAGTGGTCAACATACAAGATAGACAGGTGGTCAAGTTACAAAGGTTTTGCTTCTTTAT